ACGCACATACACTCACAAACACCACACCCACCCTGGGACTTCACTGCAGAGCAGCGAAGGTGCTGCAGTCGAGCCCGAGGAAGACAATAAGGCAGCGAGCGTGTGTGACCTGTGCATGCGTGCAGTGTTGCAGCGTGATCGGCTTCTTGTCCGTCCTCGTGTAGCTGAAGAAAAACAAGCGTAAAGGATGAAAACATGCTGTTAGGGAAATACACCATGTGTCACATTCTGCTCCTTCAAACCGAAGTCGTACCAGCGAAATGCCCCCCAAATCATAGCAGCACCACTGGATCCCATCTCATCTACATATTCTGATTTAGATGTTCTTCAAAAGAGCGCTGGGTGAACAAAGAACATCCTCTCTGTCTCCTTATATTCTCACTGGACTCACTGGATCCAGTGGATGTAGACTGCAGGTTTAAATCTGCCCTTAGCTGTTGGTTTCACGCCACTTTCTCTTCCTGGTCCACTATCTGTGTGTTATTGTTTTCTTGTTCCTTTTCACTATAGGACCAACTCCCTCATCACTACCATGCCTGGGCACTGTTGCTTCAACTGTGATTGGTTTAAAGAAATACAAACAAGCCAGAGCTTTTTTTTTTTCTCCTCTGTAGCAGGATGATAATGAGGTGCAGTCAGACTATTCTACACAGTGTCATTGTTGGAGAAGAGTCTGGCTATAACAGACTATGTTCTCCCCATTTTCTGTGCACTTTGTATATACTTATGCATGTTTAGGTACTCATCATGTGCTGTTCACATAACAGACTACACATCCATCCATCCATCCATCATCTATACACCGCTTAATCCTCTGCAGGGTCGTGGGGGGGCTGGAGTCTATCCTGGCTGACTCAGGGTGAAGGCAGGTTCACCTGGACAGGTAACCAGTCTATCACAGGGCTACACTTAGAGACAGACAACCAAGCACACTTAGAGTCACACCAGTTAACCTCAGCATGTCTTTGGACAGCGAGAACATGCAAACTCCACACAGAAAGATCCCAGGCCAGGACACAAACCAGGGATCTTCTAACTGTGAAACACATTTGCTAACCACCACACCGTGCCGGCCACAGACGACACATGGCACCATCATTATGTTTTGTCTGGTTCCTCAAAGGCGTTTTCAGACTAAGATGCTTCTAAAGACCATCTTTAAAGCATTCTTAATCTAAAGAGGTTTTTCCTATTTGCAACCTAAAGGCCAATTCATGACTTACTGACTTGAGCTTTACCTCTCTTCTATACCAAGGCCAGTTTATAAAAGATGGACATAGCTGCCTAGTGGTACCATTTCAAAACATTGAGTGTGGCATTTGGCCGTCTTTTGAAACCAGATGTAAGAAGCGAGGAGAGGATCTGACTGACAATAGAGTGGTGACATGTCAATTTCAAAGTAGCCACTCCCTTAAACATATCCTGCTTTATTGTCTATTTTGCCCTAAATGGGACTGTCATTTGTTTACTGAAGTAGATTGGATCACTTCTTTATAGACTCTACAGGTAGACATATTATTTCAACCAGAGGTGTTGCAATGGAAAAATACTGCATCTGCATGAGGAATATCAAAGCAAGTTTCACTAAGTTTCATTAAAGCTGAGTGGAAAGGTTACAGGCCCAATGAGAAGAAATGTGTTCTCATAACATCGAGGTAAAAGATTAGTGATCGTACATGGGAAGAAGATTATAAGGAACACTGCCTTGTTGCATCCCATATGTTTAGACTTCTTGATGTCTGATCCAATGTGTTTAGTCTTCTAATGTCTGTGGATGAGTGCACCCTGTACCCCCAGCTGCTGTTTTCCAAGCATGAGATTGTTATACTACCATTAGAGTAAAGACCACGCCTGTACATGTATAAGAATACCATGCTGCCTGCACTCATGTGTACTCTCCTGCAGACTGCTTGCATTCTGTATGACCTGCACCTTTAAAGCTTTGAATTAAACAAGACAAAGACAACTCGGACTACTGGACTTTATTAAGATCATAGAAAATTTCCACAACAGTGTGTCTCTATGCTGCCCATGACAAAAAAATGCAGGTAAATGCACTTCTGCATTGCTTCACTTTTTAGTACCGGAAACAACGTCCATCCTACATTTAGTTTACGTCCCAAACACACTGCAATCTGAGGTCTATGTGCACTGACAAGCTCTGACTCTCAACCACATACAAAAATCATGAACTGGCTCTAAAGATGCCCCAAACTAAAAGTGTTTTGCCCATTTTTTAGTCTCCTCCTCTTTGTATTCTCACTTAATACATGAGTCTGATAGAAGTGATAAATGGACAGCGACGCACTGAAATGATATTTTTGAGAAACACCAGTCGCATGGAGCTTTCTGAAGTCTTGTCCTCACAGGTGTGAAGTTTGGTCTCTTATGCCTGTAGAAAGATACGCATTATTCTGTGGTAGGACTGGTCACTTCTGTCAGCCTGCACTAAAGCCAGAGATGGAAGTGGACGAAGGTGATGCTCTGGTTCAGTTCCATAAGTTCTATTATGACGACTATATGGGACCAGTTTGGTGCAAATACTGTTTCAAAGTCTTGTTTTGTGGGAAACCTAATAGAGGAGGAGCATCATAAAAAGAAAAAATATGGAATAGAGGTAGATGTTGATGAGTTACCAGAAGACAGGAAAGGATGCACGAGGCACACCCAAACTAAACATACCACTAAGTCATGTGTACCGTTAATGCAGCCGACCTTTGACCTCCAGGCTGCATCACATCAATATTCAGCTCCGCAGTGCAGGTTGTTAGTTTGATTACTCCACATAAACCTCCGATATGAACAAACAGTGCCTTCATCTCTGTGGCTTACATGTAAACACACACACACACACACACACACACGCTGTAAGGATTAATGGCCCTTCATCCACTCTCCCTTCATTATCTGCACTCAGCAGCAGCAGCAGCAGCAGCAGCATCCATCACTGCTGGACAGCCTGCAGCGCCATCTGCCTGTCACGCTGCACTAATACAACACGCTTCTGTAGTGTTGTTACTGATGACTGGGTGTCTGTGTTGCTTTCTGTGCTGCATGCGGTCTGTCAGGAATGAAGCTGAGCTGCTGCTTCAGGCCCTGCGGCCAACACAGAAATATCATCTTATCCTGTGTTTATACGGCATTTTACAAAACCAAACCGCTGAATAGATTAAACAGCATGTTTTACACATCTCAACATCTCGACATCTATTAAATAAGTGATTTTTTTTTTTACACACATTCTTGGCCTCATGGGATGTGTTCCACTGACTGTGGTGTCGTTCACATTTGTGATTTTTTTAGATGAAGTATCTTAGCAACTAAGGGCTGCAAGGTGGAGCAGTGGTTAGCACCGTCGCCTTGCAGCTAGAAGGTCACCGGTTCGCATCAATTGGGGAGAACATGGAGAACATGCTGCCACTCTCTCCCTGCACACCGACTCCCACACTGAGCCAAATTAGCAGCAGGGAGCATTGGGACAGTCTGACTGTACAGACTGTTGGCTGTCAGACCTGCTGACCAAATCCAGCCTGGATCAGCCAGGTGAGGAGCCACCATGTGCTCCAGCAGCTCACAGGCGCCCTGTTATACCTGCTCATCATGTACAATGAGGCACATTAGAAACGACTACCTCCAGTCATGCTTTTGTGTCCTGCCCTTGTATGCAAACTTTTGGTGCTTTGAAAGGCAATGCTTTGATTGCTCTTGTGTTGCAAAGCAGATTGTTTGTAAGGGGAAAGTAGTTTAAACCAGATTTAATACATCAACCGGTGTCAGGCACGTGTTGGAGTTTCTCTCAGACTAAAGTTTATACCTCGTATCTGTCTGAACCTGTGGGTGGAAGCCAAGAACAAGACAGAGAACTTTATGTGAAAAGTGACACCACTCTGACAGAGGATTTAATAAACTTGTTCTTAAGTGAATCTTCATCATCGGATATCTGGGAGCGAGCCAGCTGGAACCGCTTCTCCTCCCAACAACTCATTAGGCGTGAGCTGGAGGATAGTTACTGGTGACGAGAACCCAGGATTTTATCAAAACAGCATCGTTTTATTCATCTAAATACTTTGCATTAGTTGCAAAGTAGTTTACTAATGAGCAGCTTCTTCATAGTTTGGACACGCTTGCTTGATCGGATGCACAGGCCGTCCTAAAAGCAGATCTTTTGACGTGTCGTAGCAGGAAAAGCACACGTGCAACTAATGACTTTAATGAAGGCTCAGTTACAGCAATTACTGCCATGGAAGGAAGTAATTGCTGTTATTAGTTACACCTGTGTTTTCTCTGGTCGTGTGCCAGGCTTCATGTGTCCAATCTATCGTTTTTCAGCCTTCTTAGCATTTATAATTGATTGTTTTTATGTATTGTATTTTTCTGAGGGTATCTATATTTCTATTACTTACATCAGAGGTTTACAAACATACTTTTTAAAATTGCTTTTATCTAAATGTACTGTTCTATTTAAATGCCTATTTAAAATAAAGCTATGAATATGATGACGTTACACGAATACTTTCCCAACACACTGACGTCAGAGTGTCGTTTCTTAACCTGAGTTGGATTCTGTCTTGTGGCCACCGTGTGTTCTCTATCCTGGTTGATGTGTGTTACTTTGCTCAGAGAAAGAACGGGAGTTTATGCCAGAGCACAGTAGCGCTGCATAAAGTTATGGGCTTGCAAGAGACAGACTTTTAGAAAAACCCAAATTATGACAATTGACGCAGCAGAGGGTGAGATATAGTGACGTTTAGGCTCTCTATGAGGAGGCAAAACAACAGTCAGAAACTGCACAAGCAACCGTTGTTTCCGTTCACCTGACAGGGAACTCGTGTGACGGCTGCTGTCTGTAAGGAGCAAAGACAGAAGCAGCACGATGAAGACCCACAGGCAGGACGGACAAAGCAGAGTTTGACACGAGAGACTGCTGTGTTTGTCCTGCATGCTGACAGCCAGCATAAAACACGACCAGGTTCATTCTCGTCCTCAGATGTCTTCATCCCCTTCCATTAAAGAAAAGGCAAAATTCACAACAGTCACTCAAATAACTAGAAGCTGAAAAAAGTAATGATAAATAAAAATTTGCTAAATTATCATTTAGTGGAATTGCTTTTGAATTGTTGTTGAAAATAAAATAAAAACAAAAACAAAAACAAAACTGTCCTGGACAAATCCATTTTTGAGCTACTTCAGTGGTATTTGTCTCCACCTGATGAATATTAGTCCAACACATGCTCTCTTTTTGCTTTGCTTTTGGTCTCTACCAACTAATGAAGGAAAGATCTGGAGTTTGAACTGCTAAATGCTCCACGCTGATCAGCAGCGACTTGCTGACTGTGTCTTTCTGCTGTTTGCTGCTGAACTGTTGGTGCATCGTAGATCTTTTAGAGCTTCTGTAATTAATTGTGCAACCTAAAATGATCACAGTGAGAATGAAGCACAACAGCAATACTAGATGGTACCTCATTTGGATGCCATTCTGTATTATTTAATGGAAAAAACTGCAAAATGTGTTACATCTTTTCTACGTTTTCAGTATTATTTGAGTTTACAGTAGTGACTGAATTGAACAGTTTAATCTGTTGAATTAAAAAATCTATTTTTTAAATATCATAAATTTGTGAACATGTCATTTGTGAACAATTTGTCTTTGTATGTAAAAAATAAAAATCTTACAAAGTGAAATTGTATGGTTATTCACAGTAACAGCTTTTTGATGTTATTTTACATTAGACGTGTAAATTCCCGTCTGTTTTTGTATTTTTTTTTTCTGTGTTCCAAAAACACAAGAAAAAACATTTACAAATTAAAAAGACAAAATTCTGTACAGTTACAGAATTTTTGATTAAAGAATAAAAACTAAAATTAAAAAATTGTTCATTTAAGGCAATAGCAGCATTCAAGATTTAAGATACTTTGTCATTATACACACGTGTACAATGAAATTAAGGTGTACAGTCAGGGCACGGATTCATAAAAAATCAGAGCGTATATAGAATAAATAACAACACCAATAAAACAATGTACATAACTCACACGACAACATCCAATCACTGATTCACACGACACTCACATCAGTACCTAATGTACCAACGCCAACACAATTAGCATCAGATGAGAAAAACCTTTGTTGGCGTTTTGTTGAGCAACGACCAAATATATCAGTTGGTCCATTTGGCTGGAGGACGTCTTGTCCACACCTGTTTAATGTCCTTCAGACAGTTTATTCTGACTTTATTGTAAAGCTCCTGCAGAGCCACAGACCACTGTACCACAGGCTCAGATTTATACTGATTGTTTTATGCCAAAATATATTAATTTATAATACAATATATCTAATAATTTTGTCTGTATAAATGCAAATATCAATATATATGCAGCCTTAATATTATTGTAAACAACAGTACAGTTTTATGGTTCTTATTTAAATTTAACTTTAGTTCTTCACTCCACAACATTTTTTTGTTTTTTTGCTTCTGCTTTGCACTATTAGTTATTTTTATTTGTAGTTACTTTCATTTTACTCTATATTTATTATTTTATTGTTGCACCAAAACACCAGAACAAATTCCTCCTATTGTGTAAACTACACCTGGCAATAAATCTGTTTCTGAATCTGATATCAAGAGCAACTTTAAGAGACTCTAAATTGCAATCATTACATCTTTTTTAAAAAAAATTTAATTTAAAAAAGCACTTTTTTTATTTTCATCTTTGGATCACACATAAGAGTTGCAGTCTATAAAAATGTGTGTGTTTTTTTAACGCCTTTGTTCCCCTATAAGGATGGAAAACAAAAGTCAGCTGTGGAGATGTGAGGCTGAATCAGGTAACCCTGTGATATTAAAACGCCACAGACGAATTTATGGTTCTCATCATCGGCGCTCATAAAGCGGAGGGTTATTATGGGCTGAGCGGAGGAGGAGCGGGTGGGGCCTGGCTGGGAACACAGAGGCAGACTGTGGTCACTGACCGGAGACTCCACTGGCTTTTATTCTACTCAAATCAGACCGCATGTGTCTGACCCAGGGGTCCGCCTGCTGCCGGGAGCCAACTGCACTCATTTCCCCGATATTTGACAGATGGATGCGGTGCTGTCGTAGGGGAGGAGGATGAAAAAATCGCCCGATATATTTTTTGGCGTTTTCGCTCATAGCCTATTTATGGGAGGCAGCAGCGGCTTGGCCCTTTCTTTATTATAGGAACGAGATCTCCGCGGTTAGCTATGTGAAGAGCAGATCGCCTGTCCTCACTTCGAGATCCTGACGAATAATTATGAACAACGCTCAAGATATGTCGCCCGATTTCGTGTTGATGCGCCTGGTTTCCGCGGCCGAGGATGACCGCTTGGACGCAGAAAACGGGAATCTGCCGCCGGGAGGAGTGGTGGCAGGGCTGGGGAAGGAGGTCCTGGCTCACAGCGGCGTCAAAGCGGGTTTGGATATCAGCCGAGATCCGACGGCGGGCCTCGAGCATCCCAGCAGCCACCTGAACAAAGCCCAGCCGAGCGGCGAGGGCACGGCTGCACCTGACACCGGGGTGACGGAGAGCCGAGCCCCGCTGTCTGCGCCTCCCCCGCCGCAGAGCTCCATGGAGGCCCAGGGCTTCGACTTCGCTCCCAGCCCCGGCCTACGGCCTCAGCTGCTCGTCTTCTCCAATATAATGCGGAACGGAGAGGGGATTTTAGAATTAGACCGTCGGAATCAGCCGAGGGATGCTCTGGAGCAGAGCCCGGGCTCTGGCTGCTCCGGCCCAGCTGTCAATAACAACAGCCTGAGTCCCAGAGACGTCCAGCAGCAGCAGCAGAACCTGCTGGACCGGACATGGGGAGCGCATCCGCCAGTCTCTGTATCTGCAGAGATGCAGGGAGCTGCGGAGCTGTGCCGCCGGCATCGACTCATCAGCACCCCGCCCGAGTGGCCCGTGTTGTCGGAGAGATCCAACCCTCTGACCGTGATCGACTCTAAATGGGGATGCGCCACTAGGGACAGAGAGGGAGCCGTGTTCGAGCTGGCCCGGCGGTTCGGAGAGCTCGGGGTCGGTGCGGTACCCAAGATGCTGTTCAAAGCAGGGGAGCTCCCGCAGTGTTCGTGTCAGGGTGCACACGGGCCGGGAGGAGGGGGAGTCGAGCCCGGCGATGACCCGACAGAGACGAGCGACGCTTTGTTGGTGCTGGAGGGGCTGGGGAGCGCGGACGTGGACGGCCTGGGCATGGACGAGTGCCCGGAGGACGAGACGGACGACGAGAACGGACGCCGCGAGTTTTTGCTAAACAGGAAAAGAGAGATAGTTCAGAAAATGTCCGGAGCTTTCTCCATCAGCAGTTTCCAGGTGGAGCTGAGGAGGCAGGTGGAGGAGATGGCCCCGGCGGCGAGCGAAGCGGCGGCAGCGGCGCACCTGGGCGCGCAGGTGTGCAGCCTCCACGGGAACTTCTCCAGCCGGATGTCGCAGGTAAGCTCTGGGAACCCAGAGGTTGTCAGTCACGTTCCAGCCAAGTCACCGTCGCCTACACCGGTCCAGAGCTCACCCTGGGCCACGAGCCCGAACCCGAGCCAGGCGTCGACACCCAGAAGGCGGCCGGAGCGGTGCGCCAGCGCGCCTCGGACTCCCACAGGCCGGGCCGCGGGTGGAGAAAAGACGCTCAAAGTTCCAGGGAAGTCCAAAAAGGGCTCGTTAAAGATCCGACTGAGCAAACTGTTCCGGACTAAAAGCTGCAGCGGCTCCAGTCACCTCCTGGACAAGAGGCCATCAGTGACCTACTCAGTATCTTCTGCCGGGAGTCTGGTGGACATGGCGAGTTCAGCCGGAGCTGAGCAGGACGCAGACAGGTGAGCAGCCAACACACACCAAGACTCGAGGCAATTATCCTTCCTCATTCATATTAAAGGGAAGATCAAGCCCATGTTGCTTGGCTGCTGCTGCTGCTGCTGCTGCTGCATGGAAAACCAAGGGGGGATTCAGGGACACGATCACAGACACATTTTCAGAAAGGCTGAATGCCTGATAACCTAAAAAGGAAACAGCTTCCACATCGCCCTTATCTTTCCTCCCACACACTTGTCGAGATCAATACTGGTGAACAAAGCCAAAGTTTCACAAATTGACCTTTTACAAGATCTGGGTCAGGAACTTTGAGGACAAAAAGCAAAAAATCTGCACATTTGAAGTCCACATTGACTCTCTTTAAAGCAGCAACACATTTAGAATCCAGTCACTGTTTTGTGCTCTGATGAAGACTCATTCATAGTCCAGACATGTGAATGCCTTTCCAAATTTTTGCCACTCTGCCATCGACTTCTAATTGTTCTTGTGAGTGGGACAATCAGAGTTTTCTAAAGGCTTGAATTAGCTCTTTCAGCCGGCAGCTTTCTCTTTCACAACTTTTTGGCGCCGCATGTTATTAGATGCAGAGATTTCTCAAACCTTTGTGACTTGTCACCCTCCATCCTCCTCACTGCTTAGTCATTATTCACGGCAGCACGCTGAAGGAAGCGTATGATTAAAAAAACATCGAAATCTTGAGTGCCAGCGCTAAGAGCATCAAACGGGAAAAGTTAAAAAAGAAGGAAAGCTGCAGGACCCCAAACTGCACAGCCTCACACTTTAAAAGCTCATTTTCTGAACCTCTGCAGCTGCTCTACTAATAATTCTTCTGCGCTCTCTTCTCATGTTCTTCTTCCTCTCACATCTGTCCTGCAGCCACAGCCAGCCCAGACTGACCAGGGCCCACAGTGCCTTCTCCCCTGCCTCCCTCTCTGCCTCCCTGTCTGCTTTCACCGGTAAGAGCTGCTTTGGCTGTGACACACTTTTCCCTCTGAAACTCTCCACAAGTTTATTTGATAATCAGATAATCACTCGTCTGTCTGACAATGCACCCACCACCACATCCTGAATTTACTTATTTTTGTCCAATCAACAGCCAACCCAAAATTCTCTCACGTGAAACAGAGAAAAGCAACAAATAATCAAATAATTGTGGAAATTCTACCAAAAGTAAATTCACAAAGAGCTAGTTGTCAGTCAGATCCAAAGGTTTAAAGTTACACTCAACCTCATGGGGAAGTTTGCTTCTCATACCCCTCCCCGACAGAGAAAATAAAGGTGGGGGTCAGTTTCTCATGGTTTTGTGTAACTGTTCCACTAATGAGAAGAAAGAATGATCTGTGCGGGCCGTCGAGAGACAAGACAAGACCTCCTGTGCACTCCGAGGCGTCAGGGGTCAAGCTGGAGTCCTGAACACAAACAGGAGAGGACGGGACACAAACCTTCACACGAGAGAGCACACGGTCAATATATGAAATACGCAATAGAATAACATCCATCCATCATCTATACACCGCTTCATCCTCACTAGGGGGGCTGGAGTCTATCCCAGCTGACTCAGGGTGAAGGCAGGTTCACCTGGACAGGTAACCAGTCTATCACAGGGCTACACTTAGAGACAGACAACCAAGCACACTCACATTCACACCTACGGACAATTTACAATCACCAATTAACCTCAGCATGTTTCTGGACTGTGGGAAGAAGCCGGAGAACCCGGAGAGAACCCACACAGAACATGGAGACTCCACACAGAAAGATCCCGGGTGTCCTCACCGGGACGCGAACCGGCGACCTTCTAGCTGCGAAGCAACGGTGCTAACCACGGCGCCACCCTGCAGCCCGTGAATCAGCTTGAGACATAATATTTGGCCATATTTACATTCACACATAAACACTGGTGCAGTCAATTTACGTTAAGTAACATTAGATAGGAGTGTTAGAAATCAGTGCTGGGACAAAAAGGACGTTGTGATATTTTGTTTTCCTGTGATGCATATTATAATATGAAAAAACACAGGAAGCAGCAAGACTGTGGTGATTGACTCGATGCAAATCTAAATACAGTTAGAATGAAAGCTCAGTGAATCCAAGAAATTGTGGTAAATGATGTTCTATCAGACTTCTCACGTCGATCAGTCGTGTAAAATTAGAAGCCTGTGAGTTTTCTTTTAGTATCGCGCAGCAAAAAAAAAGTTTCAATGTGGATGCTGAAACACTACATTAGAAATGAAAACAGGTCAAACTATCATCAGCTGCTGAATGCTTCAATGTTTTAAATACACCTAAATAAATGTCACTGTTTTCATGAGTTGTTCTGTGGTGCTCCCCAGTATGACTCAGAAATGTCGACACCACGGGCACCAAAAACTATTAAAAGAAATGAAATGTATTTGCTTGAGAAGCGCATCTTTAAGGTATTTTCCTTTTTCGGTATTTACTTCTCCACATTTCTGATTTATGTGACAGCTGCTGGTTTGCATTTAAAAGTCCCGGCACACCCGTCGTCCACCCACACAGGTGGCTCCTCTAGATTTGTCTGATCAGAACTCCTCATCAGAATCTATGGACTCGTACAGGCCCAGTTTTCCCCGCTACTGTTTTTGCACCTGTGAGGACGAGACCAATTACGCTTCATTTTTGCCCAGGGTTTGGTGATGACCCGTAATTTCCAGCGTAGCTCCACCTAACATTAACCTGAGCAGAGGTGTAATTTGTCAGAATGACTGATAACATGTGTGTACATGCAGGGCCTGCAAGATTTTAAGATTCATCTCGTGAATTACCGAAAATTGCTACTCGCGTCACTCAAGCCGGGGAATAACATAAAACAGAGATGCCCTTTGCTACGGGGTTTATATAAACCTGTGCTTCATTTGGACAAACTGAAACTTTTCATTCTGTGAGACAGAGTCTGTCTCTAATTTTCAGCCGGGTAATTACATCTCAGGGCTGACAGTTATAAATGATGGGTTACATGATAACACTTGCAGGTTTCATGATGCTTCTAAGTGTTGACTTGTTCAAAGCAAATATGTCAGAGCTGCTGCTGTGTTTGAAAGGATGTGTTTCACGCGAGGCTCAGTAGGCAACTGCTCAGGGGCCCAGAGTTGGCTCTATAGCAATTCTACAGTCGTTCTCAAATGTATTCACACCCTCCCAATAAAAAGAAGGAAAACAAACAGCCGTCACTGAAATAAGCAGAAATTGATAAAAGTAGCGATAAATAAAAATGTAATGAACATCATGACATTGCTTTTGAATTGTGGTTCAACAGGAATATACTTTAAAAAAAGAAGCAAATCAGCCTGATGGGAGCCGTGAACTAATATGTAGCTGAACAACCCTCTGAGCCAATCACTGCCATCAGGTGTTTCCTGTAACTCTCAGTCAGACTTCTGCACCTGTTGACAGGTATTCTGGACCACTGCTCACCTGCTCATCAGCAAAGTGCTCTCATTTGTCCAGTTTTGTTTTTGAAAAATTATTCTTTTCAACCACAATTCAAAAGCAACGTCTCATTTCACTAAATTATAATTTAACAGATTTTTTTTTATTTATTATTACTTTTTTCAGTTTCTAGTTATTTGAGTGACTATTGTGAGTTTTGACTTTTCTTTAATGGAAATACATTTGAGGACGACTGTATTTACTGCTTTGTTGTTATTGCTTTCAGCCAATCATAGGCCAGGACTTGTTACCCTGGTAACCCAGAAAATGGAGAAGCTTCAAATGTGCTGTAAAAAGGGCTGCATTCCAACTCTTTCTGTTGCTTCCTTTGCACTAAGTGAAGCTAAATGTGTCCTGGACACTGCTCTTCACTGAGACAAACAACTCGTCCCCAAACTGTTTCATGATGTACAGGTTTGTGCTCTCAGCTCAAAGCCTATCAGCTCTTCCTGAAGATGTACAAAAAAAGATCTCACATATATTTTCCTTTTTTAAGCAGTTAAATAATTTCCTAAAGCATTTGTCCCTTGTAGTTTTAAGTGCGCACTACACAGACAGGAATAAGTTGCACACTTGTTGGGAACTATTTTAATCCTCATTTAGCTCTGTAGTGTGAATGTGGGGCAGCAGGATGTGACACTGAGTCAAAATAAACGTGATAAACAGAGATATGAGATGAAAGCAGACTGCAAGTGTGCCACCATGAACCACAACGTGTTTTCATTATTAGATTCCTGTAATGAATTTGGGGCTGCAAGGTGATCAGCACCGTTGCCTCGCAGCTAGAAGGTCACCGGTTCGCGTCCCGGTGAGGACACCCGGGATCTTTCTGCATGTTCTCCCCGTGCAGCGTGGGTTTCCTCTGGGTTCTCTGGCTTCCTCTCATAAGGTCCAAAACATGCTGAGGTTAATTGGTGATTGTAAATTGTCCGTAGGTGTGAATGTGAGTGTGCTTGGTTGTCTGTCTCTAAGTGTAGCCCTGTGATAGACTGGTTACCTGTCCAGGTGAACCTGCCTTCACCCTGAGTCAGCTGGGATAGACTCCAGCCCCCCACCACCCCAGTGAGGATTAAGCAGTGTGTAGATGATGGATGGATGTTTAAAGGCTGATTCGCTGTTGCTTTATGGAGAGAGACTCGACTCCCTAACGCGCCACTTTTAAGGTTTCAGTTGTGCATTCTGCGGTGACTTGTGTTGGATTATGTTTGTGCTAAGATGTTTCTCTATAAAAGTCAAAATGATCCTTTCTGTAAACTTGTATTTACTTTCCTATTCTCAGACTTTATCAGAGGATGAAGTGCTCAGAGTTTAAAGTTTGTCATGATAACTCCATCTATCTACGCATGTTTGAATTCAGCAATAAAACGCTCCACATAACGGGTGCACCAGATGATAGAAGGTAGGATTTAGCACAAAAGGTTCGTGGAGTACGAGGGGCGAGAAGGTTTGTAGGCAAAAAATATTTTGCTGACTTCATAAAAACTGGTTCACAATCAGTCCACGGGGCTCAGAGGTGCGTCCTGGTGTCCCACATTACTCATAGATGTAAGTTTTGCTGAGGGTCTTTGGAGTTTAATGAACACATGCTTCACAAGCACCAATTACACAGAAACATTAAAGCTGCACCCGGCAACACTTCACATTGGCGGCCATAAAGCAGCGAGGGTGAGGTTGTTTTTGGGATTTCAAAACCCACAAGTCCCGCGCATGACACGCTCATGTTTACCAACTCGGCTAGTCTGTGATGTTTCACAACCAAAGAGGCGACTAGAGAGATGATAGAGGCTGAGATTTCATGTGGGTGAGTCCAGCTATCTCTGCTTTTTAGGAGACGGTGGGGATTTGCGTTTGATTTTGTTTCTTTGCCTGCCAGTAACCATCCCCGACTGCAGACTCTTACTTTGGTAAACAGTGACTCTGCAGCATCTCAATTAGCGGGGATGGGATGTTCTTCTTTATTGCAGTGATTTAGGCTGATTAGCTGGGTGTAATTTTCCATAAACATCCTGCCTGGTGCAGCTTTAATGGCACTCTGCAGCACAGACCAAACCACCACAGACACACTAACCAGAGCTTGTTGCACTTTCTTCTTACATTGTCTGCATCTTCTTTTCCTCACCTTTTCTCTTATCTGCTGCTTCTCAGGTGAGACTGTTTCTCTGGTGGACGTGGACATTTCGCGACGAGGGGCGAACACGCCTCACCCTCCCACGCCTCCCCCGCCTCCCCGCCGAAGTCTCAGCCTGTTAGGTACTTTCCTCCTGTCGGTTTCTACTCCTGCTTCTCTTCTCTCTTCTCGTGCGCATACGAAGCCCCGAAAGCAACTAAAAACGAACCTTTAAAAGCCTTTGTTTGCACAGAGCTTCACCGTCGCGTGCTGAAGTTGAGATGAAAGGCGGTTTTTCTTAATATTTCTGTCTCGCTCAAATACTTATTAATTTTGTTTTCCGGAAACTCAGACACAGACAAGTTTTTGTAATCTGCTGTAATCTGATTGGAGAAGCTTTGAAAGGTCAGCAGCAAACTACAGATTTAATTTGAAATCTGGATGCAATGACTCAATCGATGGCAAGATAGCGAAGGAAAACAGTTTTCCTCATTTCACAGACAAACAGTCTGCACTGGGGGGAAATAAACAGCATTTTATGTTCTTGCTCGGATTTTTAAGGACTTGTTTGTCCGTTTTTACTTTAAATGGTTTTGTTTTTTGGTGATGCAGCAGTTTGTATTCACTCACAAAAGACAGTTTCTTCTGCTTCAAGCTGAATATGAAGGAAGGCAGCTTTAGTTTACCACAATTAGATTTTTTTTTTTGTCGCAAAAATACAAAACAAAAGAACATAGATAGGAGACTGAACTTCTGCAAAACGCACATTGAACATTGTAAAATCTATATTCTTCAATCTCAGGACAGTTTTTCTCTCATTGTTCTCACTTAATAGCCGTTTTCTGACCTTTCAAATGTACTTTTTGCTCCGAGCTCGTGTCATTTTCTGACCCACATGTGCACCACACTCGGGAGTCCGTTTGGTTTGCTTTCAGGCTAAAGGTTAGCGACGCTTTGCATTTTTCTTACCATCAATAACAACATGTTCGTCCGTCTCTCGTCCCTTTCTGACTTCTCTACCTAAATAACTGACAAATACATAGTTTCTATCAGGCAGTGCATTTACCGTGGACTACTTTCAGCTGCGGATTAATCCTCATCTATTGCTGTGCGGTATTTCTGGCAGGAGGATGGTGGTGAAACAAACTGTATGTGTGTGTTGGTGGTAATGAAGTAGAAGAGTGTAACCCAACAGTGTAACCCACTAGTGTAATGGAGAACGAGCCGCATCAGGTGCTGAACACAAACAGTACTTGTATGTAGGTTACTGCTGGTTTTGGTGTCTTCTAAACATTACTTCATCATATATATATATATTATATATACACATTATATACACATATAGAATTTATTCCACAAAACTCGACTGAAACTTTCTGAGTGAGGCTGTTGAGGAAACCTCCGTCCTCCCTTTACCTTTCCTAACTTCA